TTTTTGTGATGTACAGAAAGTTCAGAAACCAATAAATAAGGGGGTTCACGTACTGCTGATTTCGAAGTCAGCAGTCGAACTTTGCTGGAATAGCTGTTTTAAGGTACAGTGACCCCGCTATGTAAGCATAAGGATGGTCGACACAAATCCTATGCTTACATGGAGGTATGCTTCTTATGGAGGTAATTTTACTGCAAAACCAAGAAAATGGTTGCTGGAAATCAATATTTATGCTATGCTTACAACGCGGTTATGCTTATATCGTGTATGCTTACAAGGCGGGGTCACTGTATATGGGAAACCAAAACAGTTTAGTGGGAGGTCCCCCTTTGGATTCAAAATCCCATATTTAAAGTTCATCAGGTTGGTGCATCAGCAAGCAAACCTTAAGCTGCATCAGCAGAGGTTTGGCTGGAACGTGAACTGCCTTAATAGGGCAGTTCACGTTGCACCAAAAATCCTGCTGATGTGGCACAAGGTTTGTTTGCTGATGCACAAACTTTGTGAACTTTAATTGTGGGATTTCGACTCCAAAGGGGAGTCTCCCACTAAACCCTGTTGCTTTCCCATAAACCTTAAGAGAGGGATTCTAACAAGGTTCGACTGCTGATGGTCAACATCAGCAGAACGTGAACTGCCCTAATTGGAAAAACTCAAAAAAATTATAAAATGTTGCTCATAAACACCTTAAAAATTTCACTCAAGTTCAATTGTGAACGCCCCTATTAATGGAGCGATTTTATGGTGAGTGATAAGAGGATCATAGGTGAAAGCTTGAAATATGAAATCAGCAGTAAGACATCCTTCTCAAAATGAATACTAACTGATTTGATGGGGAATTATGAAGGGGAGAGAGTATGTCTTTTTAGGAGCAAGTTTCACACAGAGCCCTGGTGCAGGATGTTTAGTAATAGTAATAAAAACCGGTGGTATTTGTACTTTATTAAAACAAACTGGAGGGACTTGCCCTATGTAGACCAGATGATGGCTTAATTTAGATGGACCACCCTTCCTTGTAAATTTACAAATTCAGGCAACAGGAAGTCCTCTGTTTTTCTTGGTTTCACTTTCCCTTGCCAACATATGCTTGTGATGGGCAATTTCCTGTTCAACATCAGTGAGTCAACCGGAAGCTATTATTTTAGAGCCTTGAA